AGAGAATGCCCTAATCTTTAAGAGATACAAATTCAAGTACTCAGAGATGAAGAGGTATGCTAGCAACTTAATTTCTGGCGTCCCACTACATAATGTGTACATACTAGAAGTATGAATGGTGGATTCCCAAAGGGGTACACAAGATTTCAGGGTATACCATTTTTGCAATTTCAAGTCTGAATCTTTCTCAAGCTACAGCTTCTTAACGAAATCTTTCTCAAGACTTGCTATTTCCTGCTACATTGACTTTTTAATGCATTCAGAAAAATATCCTACTCTATGAACAGATTTCTGCATTATCAGAACCTTAAAATTACAACTACTACTGAATATTAATTAGATGAAATCAAGGAAACGTACACATACACCCCACAAACCACCCCCCACACAATTATTCTTGGCCTGGGCAATTAGCAACTATTTGCCCTTCTGAGGGCCAGATACAATTTTAGGTGCTTGAGCAAAGCAATGAACACAAAAGCATTCTTATGGACACTACAACATAGTTCAGTAAAGTTGTGGACACAAAAGCCCACATACCACTTTAACATTAAAACTCTACTATTTTACAAGACACATAAGACAAGTAGGTGGATTATAAAAGTTACTCAAGTCAAACAGAGGAACGACTTTATATATGTAAGGATATTTACTCTCTTATCTAGTGGGAAAAGTCTTAACACTAAAACTACATGCCAAGCACTAGACTAAGTGCTCAGTAAGTATTCACACTCAAACCCACTCTATGGATACAAGGACCATATTACCCCATTTTCATGATGAAGAAACAGGTTTAATAAAGTTAAAATTTATTTGCCCAATTACAATAATAAGGAAGAGAGGCCTATTGTGAACACAACTCTAACAAGGGCCACAGAGCACTTACAGAAATATCTAAGCCTTCAACATACAGCACAATTGTTTATTTCCACTAACAAAGCAAACAATCTTACTAGAATATGGCTTATCAGTTTTTCATATTCTTCTCAGATTTCCACTGAATACAGGAAAATCCTTAAACTAGTGAATATTCAATGTAACTTCTAATTTTCTCTTCAATACATCTTTTCCCAATTATAAGTCAAAATTAATATCAGGCTTGTGACTGTGACGGGGTATGTACATTAAAACTATAAAAGGGATCTGCAGTTGGAAAGAAATTACTATGGAAAACCTCCTGTAAATGGTCTGCAGGTTTTTTCTCCCTGACCTTCATCTCCACCTCCCAGAAAACAAATTATAGAAAGAAAGGCTTGAAACCACTACCACTGGGACTGTTAGCCCAAAAGACAATGTCTGCCACAGTCTTTCCACTTACTGTGAGTTACTGTTACCTTGGGTAAAAGATTTTGAAAATTTTTAGTACACTTGTAATTTCAGCCAAATAAATTTGACTTACTTGATATACCAATAATAAACAAAGCCATGAAATGTTTTAAAACTTTATTTCAACATAACTATACTTACAGAAATAGGCATATTGGTTAACAGAATGCAATTTAACTTATCCTACACAATTTGAACCAAAAAACTTGGTACATGGTTTGCTTTAAAAAAGAAAAAGGATTTGCAGTCTGGTTTATTTTTATCTATTACAAATGTGTATAAAAGATCTTCCATCAAATGCTGCTGAAGTAAACAGCATGAACCTTGAGAAATTAAACTTTGGTTTGTCTCTGAAAAATAACATGTATTGCACTGTAAAAATTAATAAAGTTGGTGCAACAAAACACTGTTGTAATGTCTCAATGCCAGTTCATAAAGTTCAATAACTAATGGATGTTGATGAAAATGGAGAGTCTATGTATACCTGTGAAAATATAAAAGCCATTCAATCTAGTCTGAATTAAAACTAGCAGTCCAGTTCACCTGCTGAGGTCAACAAGGAAACTCTGCACAGTAGCTATTTTTCTGATTTGTGCAAAAAAGAAAATGAAGTTTCTTCCCAAGCTTTTCAGTCTAGAACTGAAACTACAGGAAAGGTATTCTGTCCATTGTCAATATTCATGGGATGATATGCAATAACTCAAGCTTAAATCTGAATTAGCACTTACATGCAAAATAGTCCCCAAAGTTAAAGACCACTTGACTTCAGAAGTCACTTCTAAAGATACAATAAAGTTACAATGACCCTTCTTGGGAGACTAAACACCCAGCCATAGTTGTAAGAAATCTTTCAAAAAATGCAGCCCTTTGTGAATGACACCTCAATTTATTTAAAAAAAAAAAAAAGAGGGGGGGCAGCCCCACAGAAGCAGCTCTGAAAAGAGAAAAAATATATAACTTAATATATCTTAAAAACCAATGTGAATATAGGTTCAGAAGATAGTTAAAAGAGATATTTTTATAAGGCTACCTAGGATTAGGCTTATAACATATTCTAGTCTTTCAACTTTTGCTCTAGGACTAAATATCAATTTACAAATAACATGTTCACCTTTCATTCCTTTATCAAAAGGGAAAATTCTAGCTTCAGTCCTATCCAGTGGAGGGGAAACTGAGAAAACAAAAAGACTCAAAACAGCTCCACGTAAATATCACATTTTTTAAATGGAAGAACTCCCAACTAGATCAGAAGTTCTTATTACTAATACACTTTTCATTGAAATGATTTTTATTAAGTACAAATACATGGCATTAAGTTTCAGAACCTAATATAGGCCTGACAGTCAAGTCCTTGTTTTCTGGAAGAAAGGCCTCAAGTCCACTCAATTTCCAGTAACAATGTTTTCACAGATCACTTTAATAAAGGGTTTTAATTTCCTTCATATGTTCACTTTTGGCATTCTAGCCTTAAAGTCTAGATAAGAAAATCAACCAAATTCCCCAGAAGTCAATTTTTTTTTTTAAAGTATCAAAGAATCCACAAAACCTCTTTCCCAAACTGATTCCCAGCTGGCAATTTGTACTTAACATGAATTTTTTCACATGTACTGTTAAAAGGTAACATACAAAATGTACCCATGAACATTAAAATAGTTAGAAAGGTTTAACTAGCCTTATAATTTAAGTTTTAAAACATAAATATTTTCAGCTTGATCTTCTGTTGACAATGATTGTCGGAGCTTAGAATTCAACATCATTTAACAAATCCCCATCATGCACACAAAACGCACACCAGTAACACACAACTTACTCATGTCTTGAGAAAGTCTTCTGCTTCTTTATATCTTTGGCCTCCCAGTCAATTCCAAGTGCAAATGTCTTTTAACAAACTTCAATCTATGATTTTTTTATCAAGTTTCCCACCAATACTTCAATAGTTTTCCTAATCTTTCACGTTGCACTGCTGAACTCTGAAACCTTTCTCAGACATCATCAGACAAAAGAAAATAAATGAAATATAAAGTGGTAATTTCAGAATAGAATATGGGAGAGTTGAAATTATTCAAGGCTCCCTATGGGGATCATACTTTACTGGACTACGATAAGTAACTGCTATCAATAAGAAAAATCCTTTGCTGGATTCTTTCATACTCTTTGGTGACTGGCCAAAGAATCTACCAGCAAAGTTTGGGAGTATATACTCTTCCATACAAAGTACCCTCATAGGAACACCAGAATAGCTGCAACTCATTTGAGGCCTCATCTATAGAAAAAGGCAGTCACAGGAACAGCCAGGACACCCACTAGTTGGTGGAGATCCCTGAGAAAGTGTGATTTTTTAAATCTGGACTGAACTTCAGTTTCACCAGCCTTTTCCACTGTATTCACAGGAAGTAGCAGCTGGTCTACCAGCACTCATACTACCTTTCTCATCCTAGGTTTTCTGTATAATTGCTATGGCTTTGGAATCTCACAAACTGATATTGTGTGTAACTTGAAGGAGTAATTATCCCTCCTAGTTCCAGATTTGCAGTTTCCAAATAAAAATTACAGCTCTTTAATCAGCGGAGTAGACATAAACAACCACCATCTACGAATGAGGTTTTCCTCTAAGATACGATTTAATACTGCACTTTAAGGAAGCAGATGTACTAAGACATGTCAAAAATTTACTTACGGTTGATATTTGAGATAAATATCCATTCAACATAGACCTAGTGGTTTATTTATTCTAAAGTTCAAACTGAGAGCTATGATTTCACTACATCCATTTAAAATAAATAACATATGAAATGCAGACTCTGGCATATATATGAATTGAACCTGCATATTTCATTTGCTCAGAAATGTGCACACAATAATATTCTGCAAGACAGTTGCAGCAAGGGGGAGAAAGAACACCTGCCCCTTTGCCAACAAGATTAAAAGCATCCCTCCAAAGAGGACAGAATAAAATGCAAATATATGTCTAAAGTGTGACTGTTCAACACAAATGCTAGTTCTAGGGAAAAAAAATGCAACTGCATAGATTTAAAAAGTGCAATATCTTAAGCCATTAAAGCACCGAAACAAAAAAATACACCAAAATCAGTGTTTTTATGACAATTAACATATACACAAATAAGAAATACCTATTGATCGAAGCTCAGGAAGTAAATACCTGAACTGATAGAATATCAAATGGTGGCAGAATTTTTCTTCAAATTCAATGTATTTTCTCATCTTTAACACAATTTTAAAGTGCTAACTTTATATAAAGCAGGCAAATTCTTCAAGTAATTTGCTATTTAAGTAAGCCAATTTTTATAGGGCTAAACAAGGAATGAAGAATAAACTAAAGTGAAACTGGAAGACAGACAGGAAAAAACTGACAAGTTATAACTGAACAAGTTGATAGAATGCTCTAATACCACCTTGGCCTCCTTAGTTCAATTAAATGCAAAAACAGATAAAAAAAAAAAAGCTTAGAGATTTAGATGTCTGCTACAGTAACTCCCTTGGATTTACTAAAATGTGTACATAAGTTGGTACACGGAGTCCAAGAAAAGGAGTGCCACTTAAAAATCAAGATTGAACAGTAATTAATCTTAAAAACAAAAGGCTGTCTACTACTGCAAATGAATATAAAATGTCAGAGACCTTATCCACTAAGAACTGAAGCCTTGACCAGAGTGTTACTCCTGCCCTTGAGCTGCCTTTTCAAGGAAGTACACATTAACCAGATGGCGATTGAGGTGTTTGCTGTAATCTTTTTCCTTTCGAAAAGAACGATCACAGAAGATACAAACGAAATCTCCCTCGGCCACTCTGACAGCCAAGGCCTCCTTTCCATCTTTCCCACTGGTGTCCGGTGGGACTGGCCGAGCCCCGTTCAACCCAGAATCGTCACTATCCTCTGACGTGTTGTCACTCAGGTCGCTCCCATCGTGACTGTGGATGCCTTCGTCTTCATCCATTTCCTGAGACTCGCTTGCTGCCACGGTGCCAGGCGGGGATGCCACAGCCGCTGTGGACACGGCTTCATGTCTTTCCAGCGGCAGAGCAGGAAGTGGTGGTGAAGCTGGTTCTTCAAGGGCCGAGTCTCTGCTGGGGAAATTCTCTGCTTTCTTCTCGTCAGCGTCCACCATTTCACAGAGCATAGCTTCGGCCTGACGTCTATCCTCCGAAGTTTCACCCTCTGGCACATTCAAGTTTTGTTCAGGGGATGAAGTGTTGGCAGATGCCTTGACAACAGCAGCAAGACCAGCCGGACTCTTATCTGCCTCTTCTGCTCCAGCTTTTTGAAGAGGGGCTTCTTTATTTCCTTCGCCTGCAGGGAACAAATTTTGGTCTTTCGATTCCTCCCCGTTTAAGTGTTCCTTTGGCAGGGGCGGTGATGGTGGGGAGAGACCCTGGGCACAGGCACTTTCTCTCAGACGCTGCGTGTCTTTAACAGGCACTAAGCCGACCTCAATAAGGACCTGCTCCTTCCGCGCCCTTTCACTCAGCATGCTGGGCTTCTCCTTTCTATGATCTTTGCGAGGAGACCTTCTGGGGAGCGGCTCCGTGGGAGGAGGAGGCTCTGTCTGAACAGACCCCTTCTGAACCACCTCCATCTCAGCATCCCCCACGGGGGGAGGGGGAGGCTCTGTCTGAACAGACCCCACCTGAGCAGGCTCTGGGGGAGGAGGGGGAAGGGGAGGAGGAGGCTCCAACTGAACAGGGGTCACCTGAACAGGCTCCAGGGGAGGAGGAGGCTCCATCTGAACAGGGGTCACCTGAACAGGCCCCAGGGGAGGAGGAGGCTCCAGGGTAGGAGGAGGCTCCATCTGAACAGGGGTCACCTGAACGGGCCCCAGGGGAGGAGGAGGCTCCATCTGAACAGGGGTCACCTGAACAGGCTCCAGGGGAGGAGATGGCTCCATCTGAAAAGGGGTCACCTGAACAGGCTCCAGGGGAGGAGGAGGCTCCATCTGAACAGGGGTCACCTGAACATGCCCCAGGGGAAGAGATGGCTCCATCTGAACAGGGGTCACCTGAACAGGCCCCAGGGGAGGAGATGGCTCCATCTGAACAGGCCCCTTCTGGACAACCTCGACCTCAACACCCCCCACAGGAGGGGGAGGGGGAGGGGAAGGGGGAGGAGGAGGGGGCGGCTCCGTCTGAACACACCCCACCTGAGCAGACTCCATCTGAGCAGGCCTCCTCTGAGCAGGCTGGCTGCTTTTCTTACATGGTTTACTTCTCACGGTTTTCCTCTTGTTTTTCAAGCAAATGTTTTGCTTTTTATTCTCCTCTACTTTGCTGTCACCCTTTGGCACTTCCTGACTATTTTTGGATTTGCTTTCTGCCTTCTTTTTCTTTTTAGTCACAGGTTCCTCATCATTAACAGGCTCTTGTAAGGATTGGGCTTCAGCTTCCACCTTCCTTTTGCTTTTCTTGCTTTTGCAGCTCTTTTCTGAATTGTTTCCTGGGGACACATCCACTTCTTTAGCTTCCATGGCCGATTTGCGAGTTCTGGTGGTCACCTGGCTTGAGGCATTACTACAAGGCCGTTTCTCTTTTGGAACGTTCTCTTTCTTCTCCACTTTTACAGACCTCTCGTTTTTCTTCCCAGTCACATCCCCCTTTACTTTTGCCTGCTCTGTTTCTGGTTTCTCACTGGTGATTTTGTTATCAGGCAAGTCAGCCTCTCGCTTCTTGGTTTTCTTTAGTTTCACCTTTGAGACATCCATGGTTTTATTAGGACAAGTAGGATGCTTAGATTTGAAATGATACTGCAGATTACACTTCTTGGAAGCTGCATAGTCACACACAGGGCAGTTAAACTGCCGTGGATTCACATGCAGCTCCACGTGTTTTTTGAAGTTACTTCTGTCTGCTGTTTTGTAGTCACAGTGGGGGCAGTTTAGAGGTTTGGGCCCATTGTGAACCTGTCTTGCGTGGCGGGTTACTTCATGCTGATTAGAGGCCACATAACTGCACTGGTCACACTTAAATGGCTTCTCACCTGAAGGCAGACAAGAGATGTTACAGAAGGCGCACGTTAAGAAATGAATTCAAGATTTATTCAAATATGCTCATCAAGAAGTGGAGATAGATACATATATATATATATAAATTAAACAAAACCACTGAAACTATTTCATGAAGACTTTATCATGCAACTTATATTTACCATATTTATTTGTATATCTTTGCTCTGTCCTTTGACTGATTCTCATACCAAATGGAATAATTATCTCAATTAATCATCTTTTAAAAATTCATTAAGCTAATGCTCTCAGTCACTAGTAAAGAACATAGATTCATCAAGAAGTACACAATTACTGGCAAACTGATCTGGGCATTTTTTTTGGCTACCCCTTGGGGCTTGGGTTCTTTAATGTTAATTCTAGGACAAGGGCACTCAAAGAGATAAGGTAATTTTAAAGTTTTTATCTTTAGTTAAACATATAATGGAACAGAACACAAAATTCCCATACATTCATTTAAGATAAACCGTGGAATTTCAAGTATTTTACACTCTCTGCCACACTCCCAGATCTTCCATGTGAAAGTTTTAAAACAATGCCTTGGCCTCAGGGAGCAAAAGGTGTTTTCTTTCTATTTATCCCTTTGTCCTTTATGGCAAGAGCTGAGTAAAACTTTTCCAGTGCCAGAGTTGCTATTCTACAGGAAAAGTGTAACAAGCTAAACATCTTTTCTTGCTTTTCTCCCACCTTCTTCTAGACTGGGCAAAGGAACTAGGTAAATGAAAAGGGGCATACAAATAGATATGGCATATAAAATAAGAACAAGAAGTCATAACCACAGGCACATACAAGACCAGAAGCCTCCCACCCACCCCCAAATTAAAGGCATAAGATTTAACTCATTCTACCTGAATACATACCCATCTAGATCACAGTCTAGCAAATATTACCAAACGGTATCCAAACCCCACTGGTCCAATGGAATGCATAGCAGAAAAATGGAAATTGACATTTATGAAAATTCATCTCTTGAACATTCTCAAATTCACACCAAATCTTTTTTCATAAAGCAAAACTATGCAGACATTAACAAAACCACATAGATGGTAAGCTTTACCTGATTAAAAAGATGTCTGACGACAGGTCACAAAAACTTATTCAGGCATGGCAAACTGCAAACGCAGTTTACGATGATGTTCCCATTGTCAGTGATCACATATTAGTCTACCAACAGATTTCCAACAACACGATGCATTACTCTCTACTTGCTCCTATCTTGTCCTTTCCATTAAATGACTTAAATGGGGACAAATATCTACTTAACATATATAGACACAGAATGGGGAAAAGAAACGTGACATAACTGTTAAGAACTTGTTCTACAATAAGAATACCTGGGGGGATCAAATATGGGGCTCTGTAACTTACCGTGAGTTCTTCAGCAAAGTACTGAAAACTCTCTAAGGCTCAATTTCCTCATTTGTAAAGTACTCTTAAGTGTTATAAGCTATAAATAATCCAATCCATTTCAAGCACTTAGTATAGGACAGATGGCCAAACAGTCAATACACACACATTACCTGTAATTCATGACTTTTGGAACGAACTGGTCCAAGTCATAGAATGGCTAAACCAAAGGGCAGATTTCATGTGCTTATCTTGCCTAACTATATAAACCCTGCCTTTGAGAATACAAACAACTGATGGATGGAGTCGATCCCTTTAGGAAAATATTTGAGCTCATAGAAGAATTATAAGGAAAATGCCATTTTATGGATTTCCGTGGTGGCTCAGTGGTAAAGAATCTGCCTGCCAACGCAGGAGACATGGGTTTGATCCCTGATCCAGGAAGATTCCACGTGCTGAGAAGCAGCTAAGCCCGTGCTCTAGGGCCTGGGTGCCACAACTCCTGAAGCGTGTGCACCCGAGAACCCGTGCTCCCCACCAGGAGACATCATGACACTGAGCAGCCCAAGAGAAGCCCCGGCTCACAACTTGGGAAAAGCCTGCACAGCAATGAAGACCCAGCACAGCCATAAATAAATAAATGTCATTTTATAAGCCATAATGAATGAGGGTATTTTATTTACACAGCCTGCATCAAGTAAGGTGTAAGCCTCCACGTGTGAAACAGTCTGGGAGTGGGAGTGCCTAGGATTCTGTTTAAAACTATGATGACATCATTTAACTGCTTCCTTCACTCCACCCCCATTTTTGCTTTACTGTCATTAAATCTTCATTGTATTGAAAAATCAATTCATCAAGTTCAGTTTATTAGTGTCTAGCTGAATGAACATTCTTTTGCCCTGTACCAACAGTTTTAACTTAATTCCCTTTTCCAGTTCTAGGAATATTTACTCATTCTTAATTTTACTTTTATGAATGTGTCATATGTCTACTTTATTCTTCCTAAATAAATTACAGATGTAAGGCACATTCTTATCAAAAAGAGCCCAGAAAGAGTATAAAGGGAATTTCTAATTTAACAGTAATAGGGACATACTACTCAGCAATAAACAAAAAGTTCTGATAATGCAGCATGGAATGAATCTTAAAAACATTATACAGAAGTAAAAAAAAAAAGCAACAGAAATCAGTTATCAGTTGAGGGGAAACAGGGGAGTACTGACTGGAAAGAGTAAAGAGGGAACTTTTCTAAGGGTAGTAGAAACACTTGGTGTCTTCCCTAAATGGCAGTCAAATAAGAAAACATATAAAGTCACTGACCTAAGATGTGTGCATTTTCATGTGTGTAAATTAGACTTAATAAAATACTGTTTAAAAATTTTCAAAATGAACTCCTATGCTAGGAGAATGGGGGAACTATCCAGGGTGATACATACAAAAATGGCAAACATAAATTGAATGTATCAGGATCTCTAAGCTATTTAAGTGAGGATGCTTCAAAACCATTACTTACAAACATATATAAAACACAGAATAACAGCTGATTAGGTTAGTGTGTCTATATATTTCACCACACCATTACTCTGATCCCTTCTTACTTTGGCCTCAGAAGACCTAGCCGAATGGAAGTGCTCCAAGGAAATAACCAATGTGGTTTTGTTTCATTAACTAATTTGTCATTTTAGCTAAAATGTACCAACTCAATGGACCCTAATCTCTTCCAGAAATGAATCTAAGCACACACTTCTCTTCCCTAAAAGATGAACAGGGCAGTGAACGCCCAAGCTGACCTGTAAAGATCAGACTCCAGATCACAGAGAGAGCACCCAAGATGTTCACTCCATGCAACCCAGTTAGGAAGGCTACCTTCCCAATTTGACCACGTTTAGCCTCAATAATTCGCAATATAGGGTCCACTGGAAATAACTCAGCACAAACTAGCCATATTTGCTTCCTGTTCGTGACTCACAATTATTGGTGTCCAATGAAAGACGGCGGCTCTGCTCTCTGCCTACTCCATGTTCCAATGCCATTACTCTGTAGCTTCCTGAGCCACTTTCTGAGCATAATATTCTGTAAACACTGCTGGTGACTAAAAATGAGGGTGGGAAAATCTGAAGCCAAACCCTAGCTCTTCTAAATTGGAAGAATGACAAATTAACCTTAAATAAAACATTTATCGTCTCAAAACCAGTGTCCTAATTTATAAACTGGGATATAAGTATTCTAGAGGTACTAAGATTTAAGATAACAAGTTCCAATTTTTCAGTACCCAGCAAGCATACAATAAATATAACTGCTACTCATTATTAACACTTTAAAAATATTTGCTATATTACAATGGCAAGTAGTAAAAATCAACTTTAAAGGCTTTAATTTCCCCATTTGTAAAATGGGGACAATAACAGAACTTATTATCATAAGTGGAGAAGGAAATGGCAACCCACTCCAGTACTCTTGCCTGGAGAATTCCATGGATGGAGGAGCCTGGTGGGCTATACAGTCCATGGGGTTGCAAAGAGTTGAACAGGACTGAGCGATTTCCCTTTCTTTCTATAGTTCCTTTTGGAGAAGGAAATGGCAACACACTCCAGTGTTCTTGCCTGGAGAATCCCATGGACCGAGGGGCCTGGTGGGCTGCAGTCTATGGGGTTGCAAAGAGTTAGACCCGACTAAGCAACTAACACACACACACACACACACACACACACACACACACACACACATTATCATAAGACAGTTATGAAAATGGAAATGATCTAAGTCATGAAAAACTCTTATTTAAAGGCTACAGCACAAATATTAGTAGGATATGATGGCCTATCCTCAACAGATACCCACAGAAAGTGAAACCACAAAGCACCCAAAAGAAACAGGTTTCTGGTTAAGTGATTCAACTCAATAGTTAAGAAGATTGAGAAGGAACATTCAAAGTATAAAACTTGACAAGCATGTAAGGTCAAGAAGGGCCAGTAAACATGCTATGATCCCTCACAGTTGCTCAAATTAGAATTCATACTGTAGTTGAGTCTTAATCACTGACTTAAAATAGCAATTCCCAACAGAAATAAAATACAAGCAACAGAGGTAACTTTAAGTTGTCTAGCCATTCTTTAAAGTTTGGCTTTTTATAAATCAGCCCTCAGAAGCCCTGTCAACTCCCAAGAGAACAAATCCAAATTTCAGAAACTGAGCAGCTAAGAAGGAACCCCTGGAACGTGGTAACCACACCCTATGAAACTTGGTGTTACGCTCCGCTGGAGGGTAAGGGAGGCAAGTGCAGCTGGGTGGGAGTATGAAAAAGCAGAGGTGGTTCAAAAAGGATTAACCAGCCTTGGTCTATGTTCAACTTTTATTACATCATGGAACTTAAGTTCTGATGTTAACTGAGGACCCTCTTCCTGGACACAGTACACACATACATCTACATTCAGTTTTAGACATCCCACCTATGGACTCCCTGGTTAGGAATCTCCATTTAATACAGCTCTACCCTAGTAGACCACTAATTTTTAATTCTAATTTCAGAATTATGCTATAAGTAAACATTTAGGATCCAGTTCCAAGTATAGAAGAACTTTCTTATCATGGCAGTTTACTCAAAATGATAGATGGAAGCTTGGGACTGACACATATACATGAAGCACTATGTATAAGACAGATAACTAATGAGAACCTACTGTCATAGCACAGGGCACTCTCCTCAATGATCTGTGGTGACCCAGACAGGAAAGCAGTCTGAGAGTGGATGTGTACACCATGTGACTGAGTCACTCTGCTGGAGAGTGGCCACTAACACAGCGATGCAAAGCAACTACAATAAAACACATTTTTTTTAAAGTTCCCACTTCTTACCAACCTGAATGAGTACGCATATGTCTGGTTAAATGAGTCTTCTGAGAACTTGAGTAAGGACAAAGTTCACATTTATACGGACGTTCACCTACAAAAAATATAATGATTAGTATTCAAATGATAAAATAATGCAAATACCATTCTTATCAACCATATACACATCATGCAGTACTGAGCATTTTTTAAACAAGAATTTTCTTCCCCTGTTCCTGGCAAAATGATCAATTTTTATCATGTATTAGAAAGATCATTTAAAATACACATAACTACATTATTTCAGCTTTGCTAATAAGTATCATTGGCTTTCTGAATTCTCATAGCCCTTTTAATTTTCACAGTAATGCTACATGGTATTACATTAAATATTAAGAACTGAAAAACTCTCTTGGATCAGGTTATCAGCAACATTTTAAAACAGAATTATCCTTAAAAAAATTCACAACATTGTAAATCAGCTATATTTCAATGATATTCTTTTAAAAATCTACTTAAATTTTCTGATGCTATGACTTGGGCAGTTTTTTTGGCCTTTATAAATGATAAAACTACTATTTGAAATTGTAAGCTTTGAGTAGTAACATTTTTGAGTGAGGAAGCTATTGTTTTAAGCTAAAATGTTCAAGTGGTAGCCAGAACTTTTATAAAAACAGTCAGGTCAGTGTTAAAGCGAATTATAATCATGAAGCAACAGGGACTGAGAGTAACTGAAGATGACAGGCCAGTAATTTACTAAATAATTCAAAGACTCAAAGGCAGGAAATACGTATGTTTTCGACACACACTGTCAACCACAACACGTTTTTTAAACAAAGCTTGATAGGGACTTCTCTGGCAGCCGTGTGGTTAGGACTCTACACCTCCAATGCAGAGGGCGCGGTTTGGGTCCCTGGATGGGGAACAAAGATCCTACTACCTGCCACGGGGTGCAGCCAGAAAAATTAAAAAATAAATAAAAATAAAATCAGCTGTCTCTCAGGACGCAATGGAACATTACATTAAAAAAAAAAAGGCTTGATAATTTGTTTTCATCTGTTCTTTGGCCACAAGATAATAATTATGACTCTGGACAAGCTTCTTTTTCTGTAAAAGTATCTTTACTTCCTAGAACTGTGAGAATTTAAATCAAGAAAATATATGCAGAGCATTTAATGCAGTGCCTGACACACACAGCCCTCAATAAACATCAGTTATTATTTTGTAAGTCACAGTAATAGAGGTCTCTAAAACAATGGGATAAGGAAAAGAGTACAAAAAAAGTAGAAAGCATTGATGAGTGTGAAATGTATCTATAATAACTATTCAGTTGTTATTAGTCAGTAGCTACAGATTAGTTGTAAATACATCATAGCAACAAAATGCATACTTTGACATGGAAGAATTTTAAGACAGCTTAAAATATGTTGGATGTATTTCTGTAAAGAAAACATATAAATGGCCAATAAAAACATGAAAAGATGCACAATATCATTAGCCATAAGAAAAATTCAGATCAAAACCACAGACATGAAGACATCACACCCAAAGAATGGCTACAATCAAAATGACAGATGTTAAAATATATTTGTTAGGAGAATTATTTGTGGAGAATTAAGAACCTCGGTACAGTATGGGTGGAACTGTAAAACAGTGCAGCCACTTTGGAAAATAATCTGTCAGTTACTCAAATGATTAAACATAATTACCATATGGTCTAGAGAATTCATTCCTAGGTGTATACTTACTCAAGAGAAATAAAAATATTACATCTACACAAAAACATAAACATATTCATAACAGCATTACTCGTAACAGCCAAAACCTGGAAATAATCCAAATATTCATTAACTGATGAATGGATGAATAAAATATTACTTATCTATACAACAGAGTATTATTTGGCAATAAAAGGAAAATAAGTACTGTACATATGACATGAATAAACCTTGAAAATACACTAAGTGAAAGGTCACATATGAATCCATTTATATGAAATACTCAGAATAGTTCAATCCACAGTGATCTGTATGGTTTATCAATTGTACATTAGTGAAGCTGTTACCAAAAAAAGTGAATGGAAGAAAAATTTAATACCCTTTCATATTAACATGAAGGATCAACTAAGGATAATTTACTTTTAAAATTCTTCATAATAGATTGATCCAGGTGTGTAATTCACCAAACCAGGCATAAATACTCTAGAAATGCTAGTAATTTTTCAGTCATACATAAGGCAAAAATGTCATCTTTTAAAGTAGAATTTGTGTACTTCAATAAAAATTAATTTTTAAAAAAGTAGAAATTGTGAACTAGCTAAATAGCAAACCCACAAAATGAAAAATCTTTTGAGTGAAGATTCAAATAAAAATCCTCAGCCGCTTACCATGATAATTACCTAGAGATTCAGAACTTTGAATCTTAGCTGCATGTGACCCTTGGGAACATCACTTCAGGCCTTTGGTAAACAAACAGTCTGCTTCCTCAGCAAATTTTTCTGAAGATTAGCAGAGTAAAAGCACCTAACCCTTAGCACTCAGTAAAGGAACTTAAGAGACCCACCAAGGAACCTGAAAAGGTTCCCTAAGTGAGAAGTAAAAAACAAGTGATTCCTGCGGATCATTTCTGTATTTCTGCTCATTAGCACTAGATACATTAGTTTTTCCATAAATACAATTTTCATGCATGTATTTAAAACCAGAGGTACTCAGAATTTACATAATCAAAACAGTATCCTTCTATTTCTACACCAACAAATTATTTTGAATTTTTTTTTTAAACACCACAAATAATTATAATGGGGGTGATGGGGAAGGAAGCTTTTTAAAAGTATTAAGACACTAAGTTTAACACTAAAAATGCAAAATGAGATATGTGTACCTATGGAAGTCATAATATTATTGTGGAAATATCAATCTTACATTAAGGTGAGGAAAAGTTATTCAATAGATGATGAAGTATATAAAATACGGCCATTAAAATTAGTCACCTAATCATTTCATGATATGCAACAATGTTAAATCACTATGTTGTATATACTTCAAACTAATACTGTATGCTAATTATAACTCAATAAACAAAATTTCAAAACATTAAATTAGGCACCTAGACTGTAAGTAAATGACAAAAAAACCACTGTAACAAAAAACATTTGAACTCCTCTGGTGGTCCAGTGGTTAAAAAGCCACCTGTCAACGCAGGGGACACAGGTCTGATCCCTGGTCTGGAAGATCCCAGATATCACGAGGCCATCAAGCCCCCCGGAACCACAACCACTGAAGCCCATGAGCCAAGAGCCCGTGCTCTGCCAGCAGAGAAGCCACTACAGTGAGAAGTCTGCAACTAGAGAGCAGCCCCTTCTCTGAACTAGAGAAAGCTCCAGCACAGCAAGGAGGACCCAAGGCAGCCAAAAATAAATAAAATTTTTTTTTTAAGTTTCAAAAAATTCACATAAAAAATTGGAAATTTATACTAAAAGTAAAATTTTTCCAGATCTCTGCATCTTTCTCGTTTTTTAAATGTTAAGAACATTTAAAAATGTTCTTAAATCAACTTACTTAGATTTATCATTGAAAACATTTTTAGGTTTGGGGGAAATTTTTTAAATTGTTCAGTGACTCAACAATTTTTAAAGTATTAAAATATAACTGACACATATAAAATCAAAATTTAGTATGACAAAGACCCTGGTAATATTCTTTATGATGACTTGTATGGTGGTTACATAAGTGCTAAATCACCAGCTGAGTCTGACTCTAGCCCGCCAGGCTCCTCTGTCCATAGGATTCTCCAGGCAAGACCGCTGGAGTGGGTTACCATGCCCTCCTCCAGGGATCTTCCTGACTCAGGGATCGAACCTGGGTCTCTTATGTCTCTGTGCTGGCAGGTGGGTTCTTTATCACTAGCGCCACCTGGGAAGCCTGGTTATGAGTATATATATATTTGTAAATATTCACCATTGTCAATAATACCTTTTTAAAAAAATTCATAGATGTGTACATGTAAAACTCATGCATTTTACCATATGTCAGTTACTACCTGAAAGCTCTACAGGTTAAGGCCAATCCTAAATTAGGCCCCAAGGTTTCACAAAACTATTAAAGGAACATGAAGTATTTATGGCAGAAGTATATTTGGTATCTGGAACTTGTTTTATGATACTGTTGGTGAGGTTAGTTTAGTCTGTTTAATTAAAACTGTTAAGTGATTAATGGTGTAGGATTCCCAAGAAACTCTCCTTTCCTATGCCATGTAATTTTGAAATGTTTGTACCTTTTTTTTTTTACTTTTGAAACAAAACAGTTTCAAAGCCTGGAGACAATTAATTAATTACAGGTTAAAACAAATTCCAAGGAGACTGCAAAGTATTTTACTTGACCAGATTTTAAAGCTTTAAATTACACAGAAGCCATCTGTTGGAGCTTAGAAATCTTGCTGCAAATGTGTTTCTTGTAATGGAATTTCACCTGCAAGCTTTCTTGTTTATGCCTACCACTTCAACATCAATTCCTCTTCTCACTAAGACTCACTTTTAGCATGGGGTTCAGTCCTACAGAGTGAGAACTACTGCAAATGGGATGTGAAACAAACAGCATTCCACAGCTCTTTTCTGTTGATGGGAGGAACAGAGTACTAGGTTATCTTATCTGTGTTGTTCAGACCAGTAATCAGTCCTCAAAGGTACTAACTGACACCAAGAAAATGTAATGCAATTATCAATAGTTACAAACATTGCTTTTAAAAACTAAGACCCCTTAATTACAGATTTGAAAGTCAATTTAAAAGTGAATAATTAAGGGGTGTTGGGGAGAAATGACCAGCAACCCCTGAGAAGGGTTCCTTTTGGGGTGAAGATGTGCTAAAATTGATTGTGGTGTTGGCTGCACAATTCCGTGAACATACTAAAGCCAATGCATTTTAACAGTAAACGGATGAACTGTGTCGAAGTAGAGTACATCTCAATAAAGTTGTTATTTGAGGTACGAATTGATATATGAAGTATGATTGCCAAATGTGATAAAATAATAATTTATAACTGCTGAGTATAGGTGATGGGTACCTGTGGGTGCAGTGAGGCATTCTCTTTACTTCTGAGGTGCTTGAAATTGTTCACATTTTTAAGACTGGTCCATTTTGGCGGGTACAGTACACTTAATAAATGAGAAAGGTCCTCTTACCTGTATGAGTTCGAACATGCTGAACATAATTGTTTTTCCTGTCTGAAAAATAGTTGCATTTCCCACACGTGTAAACCTTCCTTGGAAAGTGGTTTCTCAGGTGCTTCCTCCAGTGATACTCGCTCACTGTGGTGTACGTGCATATGATGCACTTGTAGACGCGCTCATTGTCGCCGGCTCGGGTGTGATGTTTCAGGTGAGCAGTGTAGTGATCATAGCGATTGGTGTTGTAGCCACAGCGGTCACAGCGGATGGGGCCCTTGGAGAAATCGCCCTCTTCCCCGGGAGAAGAGCCGGATTCCCTGGCTTTCGCTTGCTTCTCTGCACTCTCCTCCACAAAAAATTTCTTGGCGCTATGAACTCGGATGTGATGCACAAACTGCTCTTCAGATTCTGCTTCGTACTGGCACGGTTTACAGCGGAAGGGTTTGGTCTTCAAGTTCTTGCACTTGTCCTCTGCTGCGGGGGTCTCCTGAGGAAGGTCTTTGTTGGAGCTGTACGTTTCTGAGGCAGCTGACGCCTCGAACACAGGCCGTGGCTGGACAACGCTGAGTTCCAAACTTTCCAGTTCCATCTTCTCCAGCCCCCTGGGTTCGCCTTTCGCCTCAGGAGACTCCTCAAGTCCTTCTCCGTCACTATCTGAGAAGTTGCTATCCCCAACAGGCATCAATTCTGCCATCTGTCTTTCTTCGCCAACCACATAATCACAGCAGCCGCCATTTACTTCCCCAGTTAAGGCCACGTTTGCCAACATGATGAGCTGAGGCGCAGCCAGTTCAGCTCGAGAGAGGTCGGGCAAGTCGTACATGTCATTTGGCAAGGCCATGCCCATGGGGCCACTGCCGGTGAACAGCCCTCCTCCTCCGGAAGACTGCCCCATCACCTGCGTGGCCATGTCTGTGCTCTGCATTCAAACAAAACAAAACACACAAGAGCACCAGTTTAAGCACAACGTTTACTGGTCTAAAACAAAATGTCACTGTAGTTCTTTGTAACTTAAAAAAATACATTTCCATAATCTTTAAACTCAATCAGCTTCATTAACTATTGAAAATAAGCCTTTAAAATAGCTTTGTAATTCCAAATTCTCTTTATTGCAGTCATCAAAAAAATTTCTATGACTCCTATAGGAAATTCTATCAAGTGTTTGACACATGGCATGTCTTCCCTCAAGCACTCTTACTTTCTGGTGGAAAAACTAAGTAACCTTCATTTTTAGAGCTACTTAAAATTATATTTTAAATTCTATACATGAATAGTAAACTGCTGTCCTCTTAACTCCCTCTTCAACAATTTACCGGTCTAAATCAGAAAGGGGAAAAAAATCCAAAAGCCAACTGTGCATAGATTAAAGTATGGTCTGCAAAGTAGAAGCTTGTAATAATTGGTCCGAGAATTAAATCTCATATGAACTCAACTATCTTCAAAAGAATAAACTACCATTGGCCCTTGAACAACAAGGGGCTAGGAGCACTAACTCCCTGGGGTAATCTAAAATCTGAGTGAAACTTCTGACTTCACAAAAACTTAACTACCAATGGCCTAATGTTGACCAGAAGCCTACTGATGACAGTTAACACATACTTGGTATGTTATATATATTACATACTGTATGATTACAATATAGTAAGCTAGAGAAAAGAAGACATTAATAAAATCATAAGGAGGGCCGGGCCAGGCCAGGTGGGGCTGGGCAAGAACAGGAGACCCAACCCTGACACCCATGATCATGATCTTCCAGGTGATGCTTGAGACTCTCTGCACCTTCATTTATGGAGCACCTTCCAAAGTCAGGCCTTGGGATGCAGCCCCGCAATGATCAGCTCAGTCTCTGCCTTTGAAGGCTGACAGTCTAGTGGGTATACATCACCCTGGTAAGCCCCAACTCACCAAAATTGTGACAAAGGAGCTGGGAAGAACAGGGAGCTAGTCTTGAGGTTCTGGGAGTACTGAATCCTGCTTATCTATGAAATGCAGTTAACACCTCAGCAGGACCTATTTCCCCAAATATGGGATGACCTTCTGTTATTTACATATGTAAAAAGTGCTAGAGACTTGAGAAAAAAATGCCCTCGAAGGTGCCACTGATGGCTAGTTAATAAGCCCTACAGTGACTGTCAATCCATTTCAGATACTTGTGGCAGCAAACAAGGCCGTTCACCTCTCCAAAATGGGAAAAATGAAGACAAGAACTTTACCTACTAAAATTATTTTCAATCTTTCCCCAAATAACAGTATTTCACAGGCCTTGAAAAACTTTGGTATCACAGCAAATGACACTTCAATTCCAACTGCTTTTATCGAAGAGGGAGAAAAACATAAACCAGGAAGATGTAATATCTCAGACAGAAAGTCATCAAGTTTCTCTAAAAAATATCCTCGAAATAAAAAATATTACAGAAATCAAAAAGATACTTTCTTGGGATATTACTGAATGTCACCACTGTAGAATGTCAACAAAAGATGTTTTGTAAGATATTTTCCAGCATCAAAAAAAGGAAAATTGTAAGAAAAAATATATTTACAGTAATGTATTTACTGATACCATAAGTTTATGGACATGTATGTAAGATACCCATATTGTCTTATACAATTAAAAATGTTGTTGTTAAACATAACTAATGCTAGACATCAAAAATGAAAAGACAGAATGAAAAAGAAATCCGTATTTATTTATGGGTGTAACATTTATGCCCTGATAACAAAGCAGCAACAATATGACTGCTTCACGATAACTTAACGTGATCAATATGACTCCATCCTGACAAGTCTAGCACGTGTGCAAATGACTGAATCTTTACAGAAACGTTATGGCATACAGTACCACAGTCATATTCGTCACACAGCATTGGAAATGTCACATTAAAAAAAACTACTTACCTGTGACAACAGGCTGATACACACTTTTACCAATTAGGAGAAAGGCATACTATATGGTGGTGTAATTTTTTGAAAGCACAGTTAAAAAAATCAGCAGGAAAACAGATAGCTAATTTTACATTAAATATCAATCACCTTCTATTAATGTAAGGGTAGGCTATCCACTTCAATTCGAGTCTTGCACGCTATGTTCTACAGAATGAACACTTAGGTGATAAAGATGATGACACAGGAACGTCTCAGGACTCTTGCCATAAAGTTACTAGATTTTTCACAACACACACACAACTGATAAGTTTATTAACTGTACAACATGATGATTATTTACTGTTCATTAAGTGGAAGTAGAGGATCACAAAGGCTTTCAACCTGTTCGTCTCCATTCACACTGAGCAGTCTGCGAGGAGGAAGGGCTGGTCTCCTAAGGAGTGAAAGAGGTGCAGGGGGAGGTGGAGAAGGCAGGAGAGTCAGACTCATGCAGCTTGATGGAAATGCATCCCAAATGTCTGACTTTTGTCCTTTTTCATTTTTCCCAGAATGTTCCTATATGGTATCAATCCTTACACAGGTTGCTTTAGTTTCACTGTCTCTATCACAGAATGCTCCATGTTGTAAAAAAGCACTCATCTCCATCAAGTTATCTTCATTCTTCTGATTTGAATTTCTCCAAGACCCCTGTCCTAACACTCTTCATCCTACTTTTTTTTGGGGGGGGGGGGAGCTGTGAGATCCAGAATCTCATTCATAATTTCCTTGATTGGCTCTGTTGTAAATCCTGTGAAGTCATGCACAACATCTGGACAGAGTTTTCTCCAACAGGAATTTACTGCCTGGTGCTTGATGGTCTTCACAGCTTTTGCTATAAAAACAGCATCTTCAACGGTGTAATCCTTTCAGACTTTCATGATGTTCTATCAGGGTTCTCCTCCCATAGGATTGACAACATTTCCCATCTTTTTCATGTATCATGTCTAATGAGCTTAAAGATTCCCTGATCTAGAGGCAGAATCAGAGACAATTCTTTCTCAGGGAAAGTAGACCACTTCAGCATAATTACTGTTGAATTTGTGGGGTTCTGGGTGGCCAGGAGCACTGTCCAAAGCAACACTACTTTAAAGAGCACCCAGTATTCTTGCCTGGGAAATCTCATGTAGCTGACGGGCTACAGTCCACAGGGTTACAAAAGAGTAGGACACAACTTAGGGACAACAGCCCCTGCTCCCCCAGCACCGCAACAAAGACCCAGCACAGCCAAAAATAAATAAGTAAACAACTTTTAAGTGAATTTTCAATTTGACATAAAAAGGTATTTCCCAAAACATGCGAGGTTTTCAGGCCTGCTGGTGTAGCTGCAGTAATGATTTCACCAATTTCCTTTTTCTTTAATTAAAAAAAATTAGTATGGATTCATTTATTTTGAGATGGTGGGCAACCTCAAGTGCAGACATCAATCTACACCAGTACACATCAAGCAATTCAACTTTTTCTTGTAACAACTTTGCTTCTGGGGAGCACTTCCAGTATCACAAGTGGTACTATGGGTCCATGACGTTATTCAAGGTTTCTGGTATTGCACTAAACAGGATGAAAAATGTGCTAGAACGCCAAGTGGTGACTTTTTACCGAAACACAATTTACTGGACAGAGTGCTGATTAGCCTCACCTAGCATTTTCAGCAGACACTTGCAACGCTTGAGCTCAACAAAATTAACAAGAGGTGGCCACAAAATTATTACATTAGTACTGTATGTACTAAAGTTACTTTTACACAATTATGATTTAATAATGAGTCTCAATTTACATTTCTATAAATGGCACTAGTGCAGTAGCTTATGTGGTTGACTGCAAGTCTTGATAAATTTCAACCTTCTGTTAGATTTGTCAGTAGTAAATAATAGCAGACTAGTAGTTACATATATTTTACATATTCATTTGTGTGATGATATTTTTTGATATTACTAGGCTGCATGGTTGATTTGTTAATTTTTTCAAAATACTGCAAAGCTCAAAAACTTTACTATCCCTTGGGGAAAAAAAAATTCCATGTATAAGTGGACCACCACAATTCAAACATGTATTGTTCAAGGATCAACTATATTGTGAAAAAGTACTACTTAGGTCCTTTTTTTATTATTTGACCTGTTAAAAAGTAAAAGCAAACAAAAAAAAAGTAATCACCTTTTCTCCTGTAAGAAGAGAGTTTTGGTGTCCTTAAGACTTCACAAATCAAAGTAAAGAAACTTTAAAATCCCCATATAAAATAAGTCAACTCATCTTCAGAATCAGCAACTTTCTTGCACTGTGCTTGACTTGGCCCACTTGTAAAGCGGAGCCATTACAAGATCACCCTGAAACCTTGTTGGGGTTTTTATACACCGTCTTCACACTTTACTTTCCAATCTAAAAGGTGTTATTCACGAATCAGGTGTTCTCTTACAAATCAGAAAAAGCAAAACAGGTGGCAAAGGCTACAAAAAAAAAGCTAAACCCAAAATGCAAACAGTAATCAGTTTCGCCCAAGTGCATAAACACAAACTCGTTGAGTCACAGGTTCCAACGAAAGTCGGAATCAGATGCCATCACACAAAGCAAAGGCTGTCCAAGGCCTTAACGAAACAGCCCAGGCGACTCGGAATTCCCAATTCTCCCCCAACCCTAACCACCGTCCCCACATTACCCAGGAAGGCCGTCCGCGCACAGCCCGAAAGCCCAACGTGCCGCTCGGATCCTACGTGCTGCCTTCAGCGCCGGCCTCGGCCGCGGCATTCCTGACTGAAATAGGCATTCGGCCATTTTCTCAAAATACGTACCAAACACAAAGCAGCTCTTCGCAAACTCCGGCGCCCTCGCTCGCCCTCGCCTCGGCCCGCTCGCTGCACCACCGACGCACCAAGTCGTCCTGAAGCGTCTCCTGGGCTCCCCACCACGGAAGACGCCAGGCGGGCAAACTCGGGGCGCCGTTGGGCCAGGCCGAGTCTTCCCAGTCCGGGCTGCCCCCTCCCGGCCCGCGCGCCC